CCGATACCAAGTTAAAGTATTGCTACAGCCACCCAGTCAAGGTATTGCTACCGATACCAAGTTAAAGTATTGCTAGAGCCACCCAGTCAAGGTATTGCTACAGACACCCAGTCAAGGTATTGCTACACACACCAAGTTAAAGTATTGCTACAGCCACCCAGTCAAAATATTGCTACAGACACCCAGTCAAGGTATTGCTACCGATACCAAGTTAAAGTATTTCTACAGACACCCAGTCAAGGTATTGCTACCGATACCAAGTTAAAGTATTTCTACAGCCACCTAGTCAAGGTATTGCTACAGACACCCAGTCAAGGTATTGCTACCGATACCAAGTTAAAGTATTGCTACAGCCACCCAGTCAAAATATTGCTACAGACACCTAGTCAAACTTAGGAATTATAAATATAGAATATCTTAATTATAATACATCAACACTTTAGAATTGCTTAAATAAAATACACGTGTTTAAATATCAACAATAACATCAAAATATCAGTAATATTTATAATCTCATTAAGTTTGGGGAGAAATAAAACTAACTAGAAGCTACCAGTTGAACTTGAATAATGATTACAATGATCATTATGCTCAGTCAGTTAACAGACAATCTGGTTAATAATCAACATTCCAATTCGATTAATAATCAATGTTTTTATTCTGTTAATGATCAATATTTTCATTTGGTTAATGATCAATATTTTCATTTGGTTAATGATCAATATTTTCATGCGGTTAATGATCAATATTTTCATTTGGTTAATGATCAATATTTTCATGCGGTTAATTATTAATATTTTCATTCGGTTAATGATCAATATTTTCATTCGGTTAATGATCAATATTTTCATGCGGTTAATGAACAATATTTTCATTCGGTTAATGATCAACACTTTCATTCGGTTAATGATCAATATTTTCATTCGGTTAATGGTCACTATTTTCATTTGGTTAACAATCAGTTTCTATTCGAACAAATTATTTAAACAGGAGCCAAGAAAATATATTTTAAACCATATTTTAAATTGCTTGTTGTTTTGGTGCAATTAACCCATGCCTACTATTGTGGTTTAATATTAGAAACTATTAGTTCCACTTGTCTGTCTGCTGTCTAAGAGTTTGAGAAACTGATAAACCAAGAAACTAAAGTTATTTTAACCATTTTTATCTAAAAATTCACCTGTTTGAAAGTTAAATGTCTATGACACAGGAACCAAGGATTGAGATCCCCTACAACATATACTTTAACAAGAGTTATTTTATCTTAGCCTCACAGTACATATATAAATAGCCACGCGGAGTTCCTATTAAAGTTTAGACTCTTGAAATAGTTACATTGTAGGAGAGGAAATCCCCTTTTCCACGTCTATTATCCAATCGGTCTGTTTAGTCCTTCCATAAGTCTCCATTCCAAACCTTTCCTGTGAAGAGGTTTAATATTTTCAACCTGAATTTATAAGATTTCGTTATAACCATTCCTTATTTAGTGCTGTCAATCAGAAGGAGACAACAGCATCAACAGACTATGCAACCGGGTTTTAACAAAATAGCATAGATTATAACATCCTCACAACTAAAAGTACAGTTCGACAGAATATTACGGCTCGAATCTTGGACCTTTAGATCTATAGTTCAACCATTTGGTCACGTAGTCCGGTTGAGAAATCCATCTTTCCTGTTTTATAGGTTTGCATGTCCCTATTTTATCAAGCTTCTCATAAGAACTACTAATGTTATTTCAATCATAAAGCCTCACATAAGAACTAATAGTGTTCCTCCAAGCAGTAAGCCTCTCATAAGAACCAGTAGTTTTCTTCCGATTAATAAGCTTCTCATTGGATCTAATAGTTTTCCTCCAATCATAAAGTCTTTCATACGAACTACGAGTTTTCCCTCTGCTTATGACTACTGATTCAACTTTACTTTGGATATCATTATCGTACAATAATATCCTACAACATTAGATAGTTTTAAAATACTCGTGTCGCGTTAATATTTATCTTTCATTAAATTACAAGAATGTGAAAGTAGTAATGTTCTTGAGGAAGAAAGTGAGAATTGTTCCTTGCCTGGATGACAATATTCTATTGGCAGTTCAATATTAAACACATTCAACGTTACGTTAGGAGTAGAATGTTTATCTTTGTTATAAGTGGTTTGTTAGAACATGACGGCTAGATTATAGATTAGATACCATTAAATTCAGAATTGTTATGAAAATTTTGACGATTGGATAAAATTACCAGTTGTTATGAGAGACTTGATGATTGGAAAGTGGATGTCACGAAGAAATACAACATAATTATAAGATTCACTCCCCTATGGTAGTCATGGTAACTATGGTGTACTAGACAGTTGAGTGGATGTCACGAAGAAATACAACATAATTATAATATTCACTCCCCTATGGTAGTCATGGTAACTATGGTGTACTAGACAGTTGAGTGGATGTCACGAAGAAATACAACATAATTATAAGATTCACTCCCCTATGGTAGTCATGGTAACTATGGTGTACTAGACAGTTGAGTGGATGTCATGAAGAAATACAGCATAATTATAGGATTCACTCACCCTAGAGTAGTCATGGTAACAATGGTGTACCAAAAAGCTGAGGGGATGCTGGTGAAGTTTGTATTTTTTACATTTTTCTCTGCATAGAACATTACGGTAGCAAAGATGATGATGGCCATAGCCAGGGAGAAGACGAGAAACCCGAGTTCTGAGGCACAGCTCTTCAACGTGTACCCCAGGATCCGCAGTCCCTGGGAGTGTCTGGAAAACTTGAAGATGCGAAACACTCGAAACACTCGTAGGGTGACGAAGGCTCCCGAAACGTCTTCGTTATGGGTCATTCCCAGACTTATATAGTAAGGTAAGATGGCAACCACGTCAATAACAGACATAACACTCCTGACGAAGTGACATCTGCTCGGAGCGGCGTACAAACGTAACATGTACTCGGCTGTGAATATCATAACACAGGCGGTGTCCAGGCAGAAAAACGCCGTCTTGTAAGTATCGCCACAAGAGATTCTCTCTCTGGTGTCCGGCTCCTTGCCGCAAGGAATGGTCTCTACAACATTAGCCAACACCGACACCGCGATGAAAAACCCGGTGACGTAATAGAACACTAGAGCCGCCGTGCTCGTGTGTGGGTTCTCGAACGCCCTCCACATTTTCTCCCGGATTGTATAATTGGAAGTATCGTTCGGTTCATTAGCTTCCGACATTTTGTCGTCCATGATTCGCTCGACATTTTCCCTTCTTTTGTCTTTATATTCCTCGTAACAACAATCGCCGATTACTTCCGGCATGATTCCGAAGAAAGCCAGCTCGTCGTCGTACGCCATCAGGCACTCTTGTTTCGGGAAATGAAGCTTTCCCGTTCGGTAATAATTTAAAATATGTCGGAACAAGTCCGGATCTCGATCGAAAAAGTACTCTTGACTTTCTTCATCCAAAAAAAACTCCCTTTCGTTCGAGCCGAGCAGCGTGTCGGGGTACTTCTCCACCGTGGTCCGCCACGTTTCAAAACGCCGCCCGCTGATATTAATGACAAACTTCTCGTCTTTTTTGGCTCTGGTTTTCGTTACTGGCGGGGCGGGAAGTGGGTTGTTGGCAATCGGCACCCACCCGATAGCCGCCGCACGTGCGAAAGGAAGCCACGCGGCGACAGAAGCCATGATTCCCGCGCTTTACCCGGTAGGTGTCTGATGTTTGTGGCCTCTCGACTGCTGACAATCTGTTCCCGACAGTGATCTACGTAAGTACGCACGCGCGTCTCGAGAAATTCTAGGCCTGGAAACTTTCCTCATGTTAACCAACTATTGTACAAATTAAATATGAAATGGATTGTTTTAGTGTCTGGAAATACTTCCATGAGACAATACTATACTGTTACTGCTCGAGAAAGAGTAGCTATAGAAACCAGTTATGTCATCGAAATGATGACGTATTCGAACACATTGAATTCGCCTAGGTAACGGATTGAATCAAATACAGCAGCTGTATATAATTTAAGGTGTAATACTTCGGTGTCTCTGGACTTGTCAGCGATCGTAGAGTCACTTGTTCGTTTACAATACACAAATTAGTCTATAAATTGTTTTCGGCTCTTAAATATCGCGGAAATTACGGAAATTGACGTAACGCTTCGCGCTCATCTATTCCCTACGGTAGTCATAGTGACAGTGACGTCAAGACACACAGCTTCTTATAGCTCTTCGACTTCACTAGCGCCCTCTTAGGTTCTCGTTACCACCTTATCCCTATCTTGAAATATTTCTTTTACGAGGCCGGTTTCTTCACTATTTTTACTTGGATATTTAGTTTGTAGGATTTGATGTGGTAGCATTGAGGGGTAGCGACCTTACTATGAACTAGATTACCGAGTCAAGGTAAGTCAGCATCGAGTCAATGTGAACCCGATGAACAAGTCCAGCTAGTTCAATATATTGGTAGCATTGAGGGGTAGCGACCTTACTATGAACTATGACTTACCTTGACTCGGTAATCTTCACATTGACTCGATGCAACTTGCTGGACTTGTTCATCGGGCAATATATTGGTAGCATTAAGGGGTAGCGACCTTACTATGAACTAGATTACCGAGTCAAGGTAAGTCAATATCAACTGAACATCAAGTCAATATAAACCAAA